TCTGGGTTGCTGAGTCCACTAGGGTCAAATGAAAAGGGCACACAGCAGCACCTACCAAAGGTTAGTTGGTGTAGTGTCCAAGAGGGAAGGAAGGAGAAGCATTGTGCTCATATGGAATGCTAGAAAAAGCTCTCTTTGGAAGTTTTTTTTTTTACTGGGGATTGAACCCAGGGAGTATTGTACTACTGAGCTACATCCCCATTCTTTTTATTTTTTGAGATACGGGTCTTGCTAAGTTGCTCAAGCTTGCCTTAAACTTGACATCCTTCTGTCTCAGCCTCCCAAGTTGCCAGGATTACAGGCTTTGTGCCACCATGCCCTGCCTTAACATAAGCTTTGAGAGTGCATCTACCTCACCCAGTCTCTCAGCAAGATAGAGCTGCCCTTAGCTAAAAACGTTCCTCCTCCACAGTCCTCAGTTTGCCTCTCAGAGTCTGCTTTGATTTAGTTTCTGACCAGGTTGTTTTTTCCTGTTCTAGAACTTGATATAAATGGAGTCAACTAGTCTGTGTTTTTTTGTTTTGTTTTTATAGTGCTGGGGAGAGAACCCAGTATCTCATGCATGCTAGGTAAACACTGAGCCACATCCTCAGCTCAAGTTAAATGTTCTGATTCTTGAATAAGACTTCTTCTACTTTGTTAAATACTGAGATTCATCCATGTTTGGGTATCATTCTGCCCCCCTTTTTTCTCCTTTCTTTTTAAAAAATAATATCTACTTATTTGCTGGTTGCAGTGCTGCATGCTGTAATCCCAGTGCCTCAGGAGGCTTAACAGGAAAATTGAAAGTTTCAGTTCAGCTTCAGCAGCTAGTGAGACCCTGTCTCAAATAAAAAGGGCTAGGGAGATAACTTGATGGTAAACTGCTCCTGGGTTCAACACCTGGTATGGGGGGCAGTAATACTCATTTTAAATACATGACACAGAAATGAACATACAGATGGTTCTTGACTAATTGTTTCTCTCTCTCTCTTTTTTTTTTTTTTTTTTGGTAGGGGATTGAACTCAGGGGCACTCAACCACTGAGCCACATCCCCAGACCTTTTTTGTATCTATTTAGAGATAGGGTCTCCCTGAGTTGACCACTGAGCCACATCCCCAGCTCTATTGTATTTTATTTAGAGACAGGGTCTCACTGAGTTGCTTAGCTCCTCGCTGTTTCTGAGACTGGCTTTGAACTTGGATCCTCCTGTCTCAATTTCCTGAGGTTCCTGACTTATTGTTTGATTTATAACTTCTTTTTTTTTCTTAATTTTTATTGGTGCATTATAATTATATTAATGGATTTTGTTGTAATTGACAACAAATTTCTGCTTTATGATGGTACAAAAGTGATAAAGCATTCAGTAGAAATTATGCTTTAAATTTTGAATTTATATATCCTGGGCTATCAATAATGTGATATGCTCCCTCTCTTACAGTGCTGGGCAGGGGCAAGAGCCATAGCTCCTGGTCAGCCTAGTGATTACAAAGGAAAACCACTGATGCTCTACAGTGTTTATGTTGCTAAATTGTGATGTTCAATAATGTAAGTAGATTAAGTGTTTTTTAAGTTTATGATTTTTTTTTAAAGAGAGAATTTTTTTTTTAATATTTATTTTTTAGTTTTCGGCGGACACAACATCTTTGTTTGTATGTGGTGTTGAGGATTGCACGCATGCCAGGCGAGCGCGCTACCGCTTGAGCCACATCCCCAGCCCCTAAGTTTATGATATTTTTAACAATGGTTTTATTGGAATGTGACCCATCATAAGTCAAGGTACATCTGTACAAACAGTCTAGTTTGGATAGTCCCATTCCCCAGAGATAACCTCATTTTGCAGTTGGGTGTGCATTCCCCAAGGTGGGACTTGCTTTGTTGGATGGGGCCAGAACTTCCAGAATAGATGCCTTGTAGGAGGGTGGACAGGGGTCTGTGGGGTAGGGTTGGGAGTTCTGGTGGCTCCCTGGCTTAGCTCTGCAGCCCTGGCTCCACTCAGGCATGTGCTGCCAGTGGCTTGAAAGACTAGGGTATCTCAATGCTGTGCCAGCCAGTCTGGGTCCTGGGCCTCCCCTCATCGTGGGGGATGGGCCTTCTATACTGTGATATGAATGGGGAGGGGAGGAAAAGGAGGGCAGGTGGGTATTGACCATTCATCCCACCAACACAATCATATGTCTGATGTCTAATCAGGGTTCTGGGAACATATCCCAGAGTCTTTTTATTATTTCCACCATACCTTCTATGTTCACGGGAGAGTGAACTGGCCTGTGCCTGGTGAGGTCAGCCTGTCTAGGACCCACCCATAGGGGTAACCTGGAGTTGAGGGTTCCTAACCAAGGAGGGAGTTTCTGTGCCGTTTTACCTCTTCCTGACCTTCTCCTAGGTACCCTGAAGGTTCTGTCCTTCGGAGGGGCTAGGTGGTAGCCTTAAAAGAGTACCTGGACAGCATGAGATCCCAGGCCTGCTATGCCTCTGCCCCAGATCCTGGGCTTCCTGGAAGCCAGCATTCTGGCTGAAAGAATTCCCCACGCAAAGACACTTCGCTGGGAGAATTCCAATTTTATTGCAAAAAGCAGTGTGCTTATATAGAACTAAGGGGGAGATGGTAGGGTTTAGATAAATGGCAGGCAACCCGTTTATTGGCAAGTTCTTTCAGATATCAGCTCTGGAGCCCAGGAATTAGTTCTCATTGGGGCTAAGGTTCCCCGCCAGCGAGATTTGAAATTGGCGCCGGCGGAAGAGTTCACAAGGGCGGGAACTTTTCGCGCCACTGCAGAAAAGAAGAAGGTAGGAAGAAGAGGTGCTTAGGCGCCATGTTGGGGTTTTTTCTCTGGGGTATGGCTGCCGTTTATACTTTTCCCAACACTGGCCAGCAATGGGTCTGGGCTGGATGTGCTGTCCTTGGAATTGATAGGCACACTGCCTGGGCCTGCTGCCAGAGATTGCTAAGTGCCAACCTGTCCTCCCTCTGCCACCTGTCTGTGACTCCTGCCAGCACAGGGCATCAGCCCTTGAACTGAGGTTTTCCTGGGATGGTGGTGATCCTGGTGCTGTTTCCAGGTCCTTGACACTCCCACAGTTTATGGCCTTTCCATGATATCTGTTTGCTGCTACGGTGCCTTTTGGAGAGTGGATAGAGTGGGGAATCTCTGGCCATCTTCATTTGGGTAGGGAAGAAAAGAGCAATGCTTTGTAGACTTATATACAGCAGTATATAAGTCTATATGGGTATATAGCAGGGTGTTATATATATGGGTAATACAGCAGGATGGTATGTGGTCCTCTCTTAGGAGGTGAGGATATGTTGTCTCTTGTAGGTATAGTTGATGGCCCAGACTGGCAGGCTGGGAGGGCAGCTTTGTGCTTGCTGTGAGCTCTAAACAGGAGGGTCCCCCTCCCCCTGTGAAGAGCATTTCTGGTAGAGGGTACAGGAAGTTAGCCTTGTCCCTTTCTGCTAGGTGTCACATCTAACTCAGCCTGGGGTCTTCTCCTTCCCTGACTGGGAAACCTTATTCAGTTAATCAACCTAACCTGGGTTAGTGAAGTACCTGGCAGGGCCATGTAGTAGGCACCCAGAGGGCATGCCTACCCCCAAGGTACTCAGTTGTCCCAGAGTCCTCTATTTTGTCACTTACTCCCTGCACAGTGTTTAGTAGCTGGCCTGAACTCTGCTACAGACAGGTAACCCCTAGTTCATCTGGTGAGTGAATGTTGGCAGGGCTCTGGCTGATCCCAGATATGAGGAAAGCCAGGCAAGGAGCAGGTTAATTGACCCAAAGGTATCTAGCAGATTCAAATGCTAGCCTTGACTTCCTGTTAGTCTTCAGGTCCACTCTTCACCAACCATTGTTTTGGTGGTCTCCACTCCCCTTCCAAAGCTGTGGTCTGCCCCATCCCTTTTACAGAGACTTAACAGCTACTTTTGGGTGAGGGGTCCAGCCCTAGTTATCATTCAACACAAGAGTTCTTGGCTCCCAGACCTCTGTATTTTCAGAATTGGTTCAGCTGCCCTCAGGGCCTTTGGTGGGATCCTGGGCCAATCTTATTCACCTCCTACCAGTCCCCCTCCCCCCCTGAGAGGGGAGCTGCTTGGGGAGACAGCTGGTAGCCTGAAGCCTAGCCTCCTGGCTGAGGCCTGTACCCCGGGTCTGGTCACATTCCTGAGGGACCTGCTGAGCCTCCCTGGCCCTGGGGGTGGCGTGGGGGAAGGGCAGGCAGGGATGGGCTCCAGACTGTTGCAGGCCCCCACCCCCACCCCTGGCTCCATTCCAAGAGAGCCCAGTCTGGCCTGTGGGGTGCAGGGACTCAGAACCTTAGGATCCCTCTCCTGCGGGACCCAGAGCTGAGAGGGGGAGAGGGAGCCTACTCTTATCTGACTGTACTGCCAGCAGCTTCTGCAGGAGGCTGGTATTGAAAGACTGAGCCTAAGGCTGGGACAATCCCTCAAGCAGTAAAACCTCCTGAGAGGGAAGGCCTATGTGATTAGGCTGGGCAGGAGAGGGCTGGGCCCTCTAGGCCTAGAGGGGGCAAGAGCACATCTGAGAGGGAAGCAGGGGAGCCAGAAGCCGTTGAGACTGGTTCTTATAAATAGCCCTTGCACAAGTGGCTCCAATTTTGACCTTTTGTTATGTAAATGTGACCAGCCTGGGTAGGACCTTGCCCAAGCCTCCTTGCCACCTCATCTGCTTGCCTGGAATTGTATCCCTGCCACCAGCATCCCCAGGTCTAGGTGGCCCCTGAGGTATCCTAAATCTCCAGGGTATATGTGTTGGTGGATAGGTAGTGCCCACCTAGCTTCTCAGATCTTGTCTTTTAACTCCTCACTTTCCCTGCCATTGGGTGTAACTATAGGGCACCACTGTTCTGCTTGGCTGCACCTGGGTGTTCTAGCCAAAGACATCCTTCAGACCTTTCTGAAAATGAAGGATCCAGGGTCACCAATTGCCTCTCCTTCATGATCCCTCTCTTCCCCCGCTTCCCTTGCTGATGTGTGAGTAACTGTCCATCTTCTCCCCAGATGACCAGGCATTGATGTACCCTCAGGAAGTCCACACGCTCAAGGAGGCCGTCCCTGCTGGCTGCTGCTCACATGGTTTCTGGGCCCCTGGCACTCCGGTAGGCTGAAATGGAGACTTGGGGAAGGGAGAACAGCACCTGTTCTTTGTCCTTGGCGTTTTCTGGGCAGCTTACACAGCCCTGGCTTCTGTTCTGGCCTTGAAGTCTTGGGTTCATTCAGTTCAGGACAATGTCAAAGGAGCCTGGGGCCCACTGCCCAGGATTGGGGGGTTGTTGTGAATATGTGAGCTCTCCTGTCTTTTGCTTGTTCTCTTGCTAAACTTGGGGCACTAGGTATGCTGGGGACTGTCGAAGGTGTCACTGGCTTTGCCCTAGGGCCCAATGTGGAAGGTACGCTTTGGGTTCTTTGTCTCTGCCTAATAGGTTAGGGGAACAAGGAGTGGAAGAGTTAGTTCCTGACTGAGCCCTTTGGCAGGTGCTTGCTGTGGGGCTCTTGAGTGTTATTTTTTGGGGCATGTCACACCCATGTTCACTCACAGTGAGGTGTGGATCTGGGAAGAGCATTTGTGTTATGGGAGGGGAGGACAGGGTGTGGTAGGCATGACTGCTTCCAGGGCTCTGCTCCTGTGGGAGACAAAGCTGGGTGCTCTGGGAGGGGTAGGAGCACAAACACCTGGTGGTGGCAAGGTTTAGAGCTGTTCAGCTACTTACAGAGACTGTACCCTTAACAGCAGGTACAGAACTGCCTTGGGACGATCATTTCTTTCCTTCTGGGGCCCATTGTATACTTCCTTGCCTTTGTTTTCCCTGTGGGGTGTCTTGCTTGGCAGAGAAACGGCTCAGGTTGGGAGTCTGGTTGGACCTCATGAGCACACACTGCACCAGTGGGCTGATAAGTTCCTGTGGAGACCAGAGGCATCTGTGTGTTTGTTACTTAATGACCTCAATTAGTGTTTGTGCCAGCCCGTCTAGCAGGGGCCAGCTGGCTGCCTTTCCCAGTCACAGACAGTTATGGCCCTTAGAAAAGGTGCAGGGTTTAGGGGCTGGGGGTAGTGCCCCAGTGCTTGCCCCAACAAGGTCCTTCTCAATGTAGGTGGGCTCTGCAAAGACCAGAAGCCATGGGAGAGACTACAGTATGGTGGTGGTGGTGTGGGAAGCAGGATTGGTACTCTTAGCACATCAGAAAGCCTGAGCCACCTCTTAAGAGGTACCCCAGTGTAGAGTAGAGGTTTCAGACCAGCAGATGTGTTTGATTTGGCCACACAGTATTTTTAAAAAGAACCTTCTTCTAGTAGAGGGAGATGACTATGAAAATCTGAATTTCTAACTTGTCTAGAAAGTTGAAAACAGCCCTGTGGGCCTGCATGCTCCAGAGGGCTAGGTCTGTTTTACCAAGGGCTCTAGCTCCCCTACAGAGGCCTCTGTTCCTCAAATTCCATATCCACCTGCTAGTCATTTTGGGTTCCCTGCTTGTCCATGTGGGCCTATGATTGACTTCTTTTAGTGTGGAGATAGTAGCCTATGTTCTGAAGTCAAATTCAGACCCCAGTTTTTCTGCTTGGCACCCTCCTTGCTTCATTTTCTCATCAGTGCAAATAGGTGTGGGGGAATGCTGTGTCCTTTCTCAAACAGTTTAAGTCTTTCATGAGGTGATCTGTATGTACAGTGCCTGCACACAGCAGGATTGAGTTTCTTCTCTGTGCCTAAGGGGGTAGAACTGAGTGCAGGTCTCAGCTACCTGCTTAGTGCATAATTCCTTGAGTGCCATCCAGAGTTCCACTGTGCTCTAGGACCCTGGAGTGAGTTAACGTGTATGCCTGTTCTTGCCTACAGGTGGTGTGCGTGGGCAGGGCGTGGGGACATGGGGCCCGACATGGAGCTGCCCAGCCACTCAAAGCAGCTCCTGCTACAACTGAACCAGCAGAGGACCAAGGGCTTCCTGTGTGATGTCATCATCATGGTGGAGAACTCAATTTTCCGGGCCCATAAGAATGTTCTGGCTGCCAGTAGCATCTACTTCAAATCCCTGGTCCTACACGACAACCTCATCAATCTGGACACAGACATGGTCAGCTCCACAGTATTCCAGCAGATCCTTGACTTCATCTACACAGGCAAGCTGCTGCCCAGCGACCAGCCAGCTGAGCCCAACTTCAGCACTCTTCTCACTGCCGCCAGCTACCTCCAGCTGCCTGAGTTGGCAGCCCTCTGCCGCCGCAAACTCAAGCGAGCTGGCAAGCCCTTTGGCTCTGGACGGGTTGGGGCTGCTGGCATGGGGCGACCATCCCGTAGCCAGCGGCTATCCACAGCCTCTGTTATCCAGGCTCGGTATCCAGGGCTTGCGGACGGGCGCAAAGGAACCCACACCCACCAGGAGCTCCCACTAGCCAAAGGCTCAGATGATGAGCTCTTTCTCAGTGGCTCCACCCAGGAGAGTACACATAGCCTAGGCCGGGGGGTCTGCCCAACCAGTGGAGAGGTAGGCCTAGGGGGCTGCAGTAGCAGCACCAATGGAAGCACTGGGGGCTGTGAACAGGAGCTGGGTCTTGACCTGTCCAAGAAGAGCCCACCCCTGCCCCCCACAACTCCCGTACCCCACCTCACCCCTGATGATCCAGCCCAACTGAGCGACAGTCAGCAGGACTCACCACCTTCGGCCTCTGCCCTTCCCATTGCCAATAGTGCCTCTTATGCTGAGCTGGGAGGCACCCCTGATGAGTCTATGGATCTGGAGGGGGCTGAGGATAACCATCTGAGTCTGCTGGAGGGGTCAGGTGGGCAGCCTCGGAAGAGCCTCCGGCATTCATCCCGTAAGAAGGAGTGGAGCAAGAAGGATCCTGTGGCTGGCTCCCCCTTTGAGCGGAGAGAAGCAGGGCCCAAGGGCCCCTGTCCTGGAGAAGAGAGTGAGGGGCTTGGGGACAGGGTTCCCAATGGCATTCTATCTGGCAGTGTTGGGGGAGGAGGCCCCAGTGGGCCCTATGGGGATCCCCCATACCCTTGCAAGGAAGAGGAGGAAAATGGCAAGGACGGGAGTGAGGACAGTGGGCAGAGTGGTAGTGAGGGGGGCAGTGGCCACCCTGGCGCCCATTACATGTATCGGCAAGAGGGCTATGAGACAGTGTCATATGGAGACAACCTTTATGTGTGCATCCCTTGCGCCAAGGGCTTCCCCAGTTCTGAGCAGCTCAATGCCCACGTGGAGACACACACCGAGGAGGAGCTGTTCATCAAGGAGGAAGGGGCCTATGAAACTGGCAGCGGGGGTGCTGAGGAGGAGGCAGAGGACTTGTCAGCGCCCAGTGCAGCCTACGCTGCTGAGCCCCGGCCCTTCAAGTGCTCTGTCTGCGAGAAGACTTACAAAGACCCGGCTACTCTACGGCAGCATGAGAAGACACACTGGCTGACGCGGCCCTTCCCTTGTAACATCTGTGGCAAGATGTTCACGCAGCGTGGCACCATGACCCGCCACATGCGAAGCCACCTGGGCCTGAAGCCCTTTGCCTGTGACGAATGTGGCATGCGTTTTACCCGCCAGTACCGCCTCACTGAGCACATGCGTGTGCACTCAGGTGAGAAGCCATATGAGTGCCAGCTCTGTGGGGGCAAGTTTACCCAGCAGCGTAACCTCATCAGCCACTTGCGCATGCACACCTCCCCCTCCTAGAAGCCAAAGACCCGCGGGCACCCTCTTCAGACTCACCACTTGGGAACCCACGGAAGAAGCCAGGAGGCAAGGCAGGTGGGGCTGGGACCCTGAGGTCCAGTGAGGCTCCTATCAGCTCCTCTGACCCAGCCTCCCCACACCCAGAGCTTTAATCTATAGTCTGTACCAAGGGAAGCCAAGAGGAGAGAAGCCGGCAGGCTTAGCTCCCTGTGTGTGTTGCTGGTGACCATTCTACCTCCCTGTCCCATCTAGGTCACCAGCTCCCTGTAAGGGGCTTCTGCAGAGCCATTGGGAGTGGGTCACATGGGTCTTACTGAGACCTGGTCCCTTTCCTGCAGGTTGGGTTGGAGAAGGGGAGTAAGGGGTCCCTCTCAATGCTGGTCGGGGACCAGGCTGCCTGTAGCTGGGGTGGTATCTGGAGGAGGCCCCCCAAGCAGGGACTGGGTATGTGTGCGTGCACGTGTGCTTGTGTCTATGTGCAGGCGCGTGTGACCCTGGCTCTGGGGAGCAGGTGCTGGGAGGACAGTTTCTCCTTCCCTCCTTGAGCCAGGGCAGCACTGCTCATTGGCGCTGGGATAGTCAGGGTGACCCCACCGCCTACCTCTCTACAACTAAAGAGCCCTCTGGGCCGATGTTGCTGTTATTCCTACTGATCTGTTCCTTTTTTTTTTTTTTTTCAATTTTGGATTCTGTTTTTAAACCAAAACAAACAATAGTTTATTTTCTTCCTGCCCCTTTGGGGCTGAGCCTGGGTCTGCAGACTGAATGTAATTGGGGCAGCTGCTCCTCCCCATTGTCCTCCCCTAGCCCTGGTGGGCACTGTGGAACACACCAGTGAGCCCACCTCTTCAGGCCCCAGAGCCCTTTTTGCCTAAAGGCTTCCCTGGTCTCCAGTACTATCTGGGCTGCCTCAGGAGTGCTTGCTTTTCCTATAGTTTCTGAGGAATATTCTTTGTCTAGAGGTACTTGTTTTTTATTAAGAGACACCCCAGTGTAACGTTTATGGGACTGTTGGAACTGGAAGATTCGTGGGGTGGGGGGGAGGCTAGACTTGCTGCCAGGGCTGTCGGTACTCTCATTTTTCATTTCTGTGTGTGTGGGTAAGTGTATGGTGTGTGCAGTATGTATGGACAGATGTTTCACTTTCTTTCCTCACTGAACAAGGTGGAGAGACTTCTGACCTTTTGCTACCTCTTGAATTCATGACAACAGCATGTTGGTGACTGGCAGTTGAGGCCCCGATGCTTTTGTTTTCCTCTGGTCAAGTGAGTTGGGCTCGGGCTGGCCCGAGTGTCCCTCCTGGGCCTCAATGTTCTCTGAGGGGGCACTTGCTGCTCACTGGGCCTAGGTGAGAAATATGAGCTGCTCACAAGGGGCAGGTACCCCAAGCCTCCTGAGCAGCACAGGAGCTTAGAGGAGGAAGCATCTCTGGACAGTTCCCTGGCAGGGCCAGGATGAGGCGGAAGTGAGCCCCCACCCATCCTGTGCCCTAGCTTTGAGCTTGGGAGAGCAGTAGCCCCCTCTTACCCAGTGAGGTGCAAGGAAGAGCTGACCAAAGCACTGGGGAACAGGATTAGCACTTCTCAAGCAGTCCTGGCCCCCAGTGCGAGAGGCTTGCCATCACCCAGGGGCTCAGCCCTTTCTGGAGTCCCACCCTTTGCTCCTCAACACAGACTTCTCAGCCAGCCTCAAACACCTCCATGGGCCAAGCCAGGCTCAAGGCCAGACCAAGGTCACCATGCTCTGTCCTATGTCCTTGGCTAACTGGAGTCAGAGCTGGGCCAGCAGGCTTTATATTCATTTTGCTTCATGCATTTCTTGTCAGTTTTCTTTTGATTTTAAGTTCAGACCAAATAACTCCAGAGTCATCCCTTACCCCACTTCTCTAGAGACCCTCCAGCTGAAAACAGCCTGAGTTCAGGGACCCAGTGGTGAACGGTGTATTCTTGGGAGTGAGGGAGCTCTGGCCACATTAGGGCTCCTGGCTGAGTCCTCCATGTGGTGCCTCCAGCCCTGAGCTTATTCCTCTTCTCTTTGGGTGGGAGACAGAGAATTGGACCCTAGGTTTTAGTTTCAGCAAGTCAGGCTGAGCACTTGAGTGGAGGAGACCCCTGGGCTCCAGCTCACTCAGGGAGGGAGTGGGGCCATATAAGACTCCCTGCTCTTTTACCCCACCCCAACTCTCAGCACTTAAGCCACACGACACAAAGTCTGTACCGCCTGGGAATTGTGCACGCCCCTGGCCTCATGCATGGCCTCCTGGGCCATGGGCAGCTGCATCTGTGAGGTGACTCGAAAGTAGGTGATTCCTCTGCAGAACTTCAGGGACTGGGAGCAAAGCCCCCTCACTCAACGATGTCTTTGCGACATAGTATTGTACCCACCTTAGTATTGTATCAAGCCTTTTCTGTATTTTGAGAAAGCAAAACACTAGTTTCCTATTTAAGATTTTAAGGGTTTGTGGGGCGGGATGGGGTTGACACAACACTTAGTTTTGTTTTCTTTTCCTTTGATTCCATGTTGGGTGCGTGCTTGTGTGTACGTATGTGTGGAGATGTTAAGAGCCTCACAAGGAAATTAGGCCGTAGGAGGCCAAGGCGGCTTACAGTTCTCTGCTTTAGTCACTTAATTCCTGAATGTTTCGGAGAAACAGGAAACAGAAAATAGCAGATGTCAATGTCCTGTAGGAAAGAAGAAGAAAAAAGAAAAAAAAAAAAAAAAAAGGAAAGCTCATACCCAAATTCACAAAACCTATTTTTAAACCAAAGCACATTTTGAATGAGTATGGAACCTCAATGGGCTCAGAAAAAAAAAAGATGCTAATATATTTATCTCATTGTTTACATAAACTTTTACAGTTTCAGACCTCAACAGCTGTAAGGCCAGTCCCAGGGAATCCTCATCTTCTGCTGGGGGTCCTTCTGAGTTAGCCCTGGAATGGCTCATGGGCAGAGAAGGGCTGGAGAAGAGGCTGGAAGCCTCTGTGGGATCCACCTGAGCCTTCATCCTCATCCCTGGGGGCTCTCCAAGCCCAGCTGGCACCAAAGAGCTTAGGCCAGTGCTGATCAGCTCCTGAGGCCTCCTGGCCAGGACCTCAGTAGTCCTGGCCAGCAGCGGGTGGCAATCAGCTCTGGTGACAGGACCTAAGTCTGGGTTTGGGCCCCAGGGTGGAGGTGAGCTCCCCCTCCTACTCTGCCAGTGATACTTAGGGGGTGAATTGATGTGAAGGTTTCATTCAAGCCAAAAAGCAGAGACCTTTGCACAGCTCAGTTGACTCCACTGGGCTTCCACCCCCCACCCCATGCAGGGGAAGAGGCTTACTGAGCCTGATCCTTACAACACAGACGGTGCAAACACTCTTAACAGTGTTGTTTTTGTATCAATATGTTTGTGCAGTGATGAATGTATTTATTTCTCAGACTTGGGGTGAATGGGCAAGTGGCAGGCCGGGCTCTGCCACTGCTCACTCCCACTGGACCGAGCCACAGCAAGGGCTCCTTCAGGATTGCAAAAAAGGAAAAAAGAAGTGATGAACCTTTAAGCAAATAAGAATCTCAGAGACTTGCAGCATAGCCATACACCTCAGCCTGTGAAATGAGCACTCTGGACCCAGATTGACTCCCGATTTCATACAGCCGGGGGTGTGTTTCCTGTCCAACACCACTGGGGGGCAGTGGGCCATTTGCCTGATGCCCCCAAACTGTCAGTATTCACTGGACTTCAGGCCCCTGTGCAGGAGTGCGATCTGGCTGGGTTTGCAGGCAGCAGACCCCTGCCCCCTCCTGTGGCCATCCTGATTGATGATGGGAGTGGAGGGGGGCTGGCCTGGGCAGCCAGAAGGGCAGGGCTCAGGGAACAAGTGCTGCATCCGTCCTGCCCCCAGATTTGGGGGACAAAAGCTATAAGCACCAGGCCTGAGAATAACAGGGGTGCTCAGCCCTGCCATGCCCCACTGAAGGGACCAAGGTTGTCCTGTTCCCCAGAGTCACATTGGGGCCATTGTTACTGAACCTGTGAATTGGATGCCAGGAATGAGGGAATGGAGAGGGACCTAACCAGAGCCTCAGTCTGACATTCCAAACTGGGTATGGTAGGAGCTGTGGGAATTGAGGCTGCCCAGGACCACCCCCCTTCCTAGGATGCCCCCAGCTTCAGTCACCCCAGTTTAATTTTCTACCAGGAACCCCTCCCCCTACCTCACCTTGCTATTTATTGCTGTAATTTATTGACCTCAAGAATGCTGCATAACAGACCTCACTTGGGGGCAAGGAGGATCCCCAGGGCTCCCCCCCCTCCACTTGGTGGGGCCCTGTGGGGCCAGGTGCTGAGGGGATCCTCTCTACCCCACCCATCATTTGCTTCCCCCCAGGGTCCCCAGGTTGGGCTCTGGCCCATTCACAAATACCTCGAGGGGAGGGGAAGAGATGGGGTTATAGCTGTTTTAATTGGAACCGGAAGAGGGATCATGTCCTAGTTTATACCCTTCCCAGAGAGGGGGAGGGACACCGGGATCGCACTCCTGTACTGGCCACCGCCGTTGTCACTCATCATTGAGTTCACTTCTCTCTAGAGTTTGGATAAATTCAGGTCAGAGCTGCAGGTATGCAGCCCTCCAGTGTCATAGAAAAGCGATTCGCTGATGACTGATCTCTCCAGAAGCGTGCAGTCTTAATGTACAGTGATGAGAAACTGTTATTTTATGATCTTTTCATTAAAAGCTTGATTGAAAACTATCCGGCATGAGCCTTTGTGCTTTATGTGACCATTTTTTGGTAAACTGACAAAAGAGTTCCAAGGTCCTAGGAGGGTAAGACCTGGGATGGGCATCTGTCTACCCCCTTCCAGCTGGGGCTAGAGCCAGGTGCAGAGGTGTTTGTGGATCCTGAGCCAGGGAACTAACCATTCAGTGTCAACAATATAGACAACGTTGTCCCGAGCAGGCAGAAGCCATCCAGGAAAGAGCAGATGTGTGGACAGTTAAAAGGGGCGAGGACCTGGTGGCTGGGATGAGGAGAAGGTCTGGCCAGTGCCCATGGCCCCTGTTCAGCAGTAGGGGTGGAGCCAATGAAGAGCTGGGACAAGGGGAGTGCTTTGTTCTGACATTGCTTCTTCCTGCTACTTGGTCTGAAGAGGAAGGAAAAGAGGATAGTATTTGTCTACTGGGGCCACTGGGGTGGAAGTCCCTGAATGAAGACTCAGCAGGAGGAACTTGGATGGTCCCAGGAAGGTGATTGCCAACAGAGACCCCTGAGTGGACAGCAGACATCCGTGGTAGCTCCAGGGCAGCAGCAGATGAGCCCCGTGACCCTAGACCTCAAAAAAGAATGTTTATGTTGTTAATTTATTTATTTTTAAAGAGAGTGAGAACGAGAGAGTTTTTTTTTTAATATTTATTTTTCAGTTTTCGGCGGACACAACATCTTTGTATGTGGTGCTGAGAATCGAACCTGGGCCGCACACATGCCAGGCGAGCGCACTACCACTTGAGCCACATCCCCAGCCCTATGTTGTTAATTTAAATCTTAGTAAGTTCTGTTCAATTGTTTAATATTTTTTTTTGTTTATTTTTATCAAAGTAACTTCTGATCACAGTTTAATTGAATGGTGCTTAAGGAAAAAAGTCTATGCTGGGCACAGTGGTGCACACACCTGCAATTCCAGTGACTCAGGAGGCTGAGGCAGGAGGATCATAAGTTTGAGGCCAGCCTTGGCAATTTAGCCAGACCCTGTCTCAAAAAAAAAAAAAAAAAAAGTACAAAGGGCTGGGGGTGCAGATCAGTGGTGGAATACCCCTGGGTTCAATCTAAAGTACCAAGGTTTGATGTTCCTCTCAACCCATCCCATTTTGTATAATCAACACTTTTAATTCAGCACTTTCTTTTGCCTTTGTCTCTACATTTCTAAATACTATTAAATGTCTCTTTCATTTAGAGAATACATGCAAGGTGCATTTTGCCAAATCATACTCATTATCACCTCATAAGCTTGTTTACTGCTGAGCCAGGGTCTTCACATCCTTTTTTTTTTTTTTTGGTAGATGGACAGAATGCCTTTATTTTGTTTATTTTTTATGTGGTGTTGAGGCTCAAACCCAGTGCCTCACATATGCTAGGCAAGTGCTCTGCCACTGAACTAACATCACAGCCCCTTTAATCTTTTTTTGTGCAACTTATTTTTGTTGAGGTTAATAATCTGATTGGCTCACTTTTGAAGGGGAGTGCTGGGGATTAAACATAAGGTTTCATGGGTTCTAGGCAAGCACTGTACCACTGAGCTACTTTCCGAGGCCTCAGTTGCTCACTTTGATTTGTTTCCCTTCCATCACATTTTGGCTTTGTGAAATGCCTCCAGTACAGCTTTCTATGCAGACACTCTATTCTGTTTGTTTTTTTCTGGAAGCCTGTGGGTATCCTGGACAGGTATGGGCCAGAGTTCTTCCTGCCTTTGTTCCTACATTGAAAGCCCTGTCTTCTGGGTTCTGTGTGTGCTCTTTCCTGCATGCTTGTCTTGGTAGCTCATTTCCTTTAGTACCATCCTGAGGAAGACTACATGGAAAGTAGGTTTTTTTGAGATGTTGAATGTTGAAAATGCTTTTAAGCTATATGAATTTGATAGTTTGCAAATCAAATTGTAGATAGGAATATTTGAAGGTATCCTCATGTCTTTCTAAAAGGACATTTACTAAGCTGTACAGCAAAAGTAGGAAGCTTTTGAATGGCTCTTTGCCAAAACAACCTGTTTTTTTTTTTTTGTTTTTTTTTTTAAACAGGTGGTGTCATTAAAAGTTCTCAGGTACTGCTTGGCATGGTGGCACACATCTGTAATCATAGGTACTTGAGATGCTAAGGCAAGAGTTCTGAAAGTTCAAGGTCAGGCTGGGCAATTTACTGAAACCCTGTCTCAAAATGAAAAAAAGGACTGGGGCCAGTGCAGGGGTGCAGCCCATAACCCCAGTGACTCAGGAGGCTCAGAAAGGAGAATCACAAGTTTGAGGCCAACCTCAGCAACTTGGATTCAGTCTAACAAAAGGCTGGTGGCAGAGTGCTTGCCTAGTATGTGTGAGGCACTGGGTTTGATCCTTAGCACCACATAAAAAAAATAATAAAATAAAGGCATGCTGTCCATCTATAACAACAAGAGGACTGGGGAGGTAACTAGGTAGTAAAGAACCCCTGGGTTCAGTCCCCAGTATTAAAAAAAAAAAATGGGAATGTAGCTCAGAGACAACAATCTTGGGTTCAATCTCCAATGCTATCAAGGAAGAACAAAAATGTTCTCAGGTGTTGGGCTACAAATTACTGCTGATGATTATGGGGTGCTGTACCCTCCTCCATCGCTTCTTAGATAATATATGACATCCACACTGATCACCTTTCCAAAATCTAATTAAGAAAGTGTGGGTGTGTACAAGACTTACACTCTAGCAGCCTGGACTCTTGTCCTGTAGCCCTTGCCTGGGCACCTAGTCATGCTGCCTGACAACCTATCTCAGCCCAAGCCTAGGGAAGAAAGGAGCCATCTGGGAGGCACAGGAAGCTCCCACAGACCAGGAAATTGCACAGAAGGGGGAGGTCACCAATTAATAGCATGGGGACCAGGACTGAGGAAGAATGATGGTCAGGCCAAGGGGAATTCAGGTGGAGGCAGTATTGTAGGTTGCAGGTTCCTCAAGAGACCAGAAAGCCTGCATGCCCTAGATGACCCAGGGCATGCAGAAGCTAATTCCTTAAGATGAGCTCTGGGGGCTGGGGTTGTGGCTCAGTGGTAGAGCGCTCACCTAGCACTTACAAGGTAAAGAACCCCTGGGTTCAGTCCCCAGTGTTAAAAAAAAAAATCCTCACCACCACATAAAAATAAATAAATAAAATAAAGTTAATGTGTCCTACTACAATTTAAAAAAAATGATGAACTCTGAGCGGGTGTGGTGGTGATCCCAGCAACTCAGGAGGCTGAGGCAGGACAATTGCAAGTTCAAGGCTAGTCTCAGCAACTAAGCAAGGCACGCAACTTAGACCTTGTCTCAAAAAATAAAAAGGGCCAGGGACATGGCTCAGTGATTAAGCACCCTTTGGGTTCAGTTTCTACTCAAAAAAAAAAGTGGGGGTGGGGGGCTCTGGCCTATAGAAATCAGACCAGTGGGGAGGGCTAGGGCAGATCCTCAGGACTGTCTAGGACCTTGGCAGGCATTGTCGATATGCAGGAGTCTAGTCTGCCCTGGGGACTTGGGCTGTTCTCAGCACTGAGTGGCCGCTTATTGTACAGGAAGCACAACTATCCAGTCAGAAGGAAAGCTGTTGTGCTGTTGAGAGCCCTGCCCTGGGCCACTGGTCTGGTGGATAAGCTTGTATGTTCCTTGACCCAGCTGCTGTGAGTCTTCTTGAGAAATTTAGGAAAATGTCAGCCATGAACAGTTTGGGGATTAATCTATTTCATGTTCAGCTCCTCTTTTTAGTCACAAGGAACAAAGCTGATCATGCCTGGTATGAGATTAGGGCCAGTACCAATCATTGCTGACCTGTTAGGAGGCTGTGCATCTAAGTCATTTCAGAGGAGCATCATCTTTATGTGTATTGTGTTCTGAGTCCTGAAGTTGCACAGATGTGGTTCCTTATTTCTTGGATCCTATGTTTCCATAGGAGAGCCAGGTAGATGAGGATAACAACAATGGGAATAAACACGACCAGATCTTACCTTATCAAGTCCCTCCTTCAGATGCTTAACAGTATGAGCTCATTTGCTTGACTCAATGCTCAGAGTACGGTCTGTGTTTCACCCCCAGTTTGCTTGTGTCACCTAGTCAGAGAGCCACTGCCTGGGATCAGCACTCAGTTGTTCCTCATCTGGGAGGGTCTAACCCGATACAGTGGCAGTGGGAATGATGTGCTGGGGTAAAAACATTGAATTCAAAGGTGGGGTGGACTTGTCTGGCTCTTGCTGGAAGCTTACCTGTGGTCAGAGAAACGGTGAGGGGCTGCAATTGAGACACATGCCAGGCACCATCCAGGTCATGAAGGACCTTAAAGGCCACATCATAGCAGGATTTGATAGGGAGGAAGGAGTTAGATTCACCTTCTTACTACTGGACATCCCCAGGGGATTCTGTCGAAAGATGGCTCTCACCCTGATGCTTAGTAAGGCCACCAGGAGCCTACAGTAGTTACTGCAGGTAGAGACTGTGATTAAGCACCCTTTGGGTTCAGTTTCTACTACCAAAAAAAAAAAAAAGTGCAGGCAGGTGTGACCCTGAATCTGAGTTGGCAGGGAGGTGGTTGTTTCCATCTTAGCCTGGCCTATGTTGGTATTCTCACAGAAGCATTCTCTAGGCCATGGTATGTGTGCCTCCCAGGAAGCAGGGCAGCACTGTTCTCAGATCCCCCACCCCTATTCTTCCTACCCTGCTTGTACCAGAGCACTATAGCAAACCTGAGGTCTCACCTTCATGTGTTCCCATATGGCCTGTCTGCTCTTGGGGAAGGGGACACAGCAAAGGAAGATAAATGTTGTCCAGCTTCCGTCCCTTGGGAGGAGGCAGGAGGCACTATTGGGGAACTTGCTCAGAGTTGGAAGGAGGGACAGCTGTATGGCCTGCCTTCTGTCTGCCTTGGTAATCAGTGGCCTCAGCAGGCATCCATGTGATAGGGATACAGGTGTCCAGGTGTGTCTCTGCGGACAGGAGGGGAGGCAAGGGAGGCATGAGGGTGAAGGGCAGATTTTCCATACACGGGCAAGGGGT